CAGAAACGGATTTTACGTTACGAGTGTAAAAGATCTCTTACGAGTGAGCTTAGCGAGATTTTCAACACAAGAARATAAAATCCGTATCTCCAAGCGACCATGTAACATTCTGTTCATCAACTAAGTATTTCATAGATAATTGCATGATAAAAATCAGTCGTATAACTATCTATAAAATACCTCTATTTCTTTCTTCGGTGAAAAGTTGATATTTTCTATCTGCGCGATTATATTTCCATTTTGGATCCTCCCTTCAAATTTTGAAGTATTTCATGAATTATATGATATATTGTTTTTATAGAGGAAAAAAGTTAGTCTTCATCCATCCAAAAATACTTCAAATGAATGCGAGCAAAAACAAGGCTTAAAAAGCATCAAAAGTACATCTGCTGAAAAGACACCTCCATCTAAGGTAAGAGGATAAAGAACTTGTGAATTTATGCCATTCCGTAACAGCTCATAAAGTGGATTTTGTATGACTGTGCAACGGCACGGACCATAATACGGAAACGGAAGGGCACGACGGAACCTCTCCTTCTAGGATCCCAAATAAAAATAAAGATTTAACAATACATCACCGGTACGGCACGGTACGGTCACATCGCGAAAGTACCGTGTTTTTGTACAGTCATGCGAAATCCGCTCTATGTCTTTTATGAATATTGAGACTTTCCAGTTAGCGACCATAACATGGACAAACAAAAAAACAAAACAAAAACAGAAAAATAAGAAATGTAGGCTTCCATATTAGGGTTTGCGCTAGACAATATCAAGAATTAAATGTGTGCATGGCAAAAGAAAAAAAGCCAAGAAAAAGCGATTCATACTCCTCTAATTCCTTTGCAGATGTTAAAATATCCGCTATTCCGGCTCTCGCTACTACGTACACCGACCAAATACGGTCCGGAGGGTGTCCGTAATAGCGAGAGTTGACTGTAACGGGAGCTCTGTACATGGTTTTCCGCACGAAAATAAAGGGCATTTGGAAAAGATTAAATAATCAATACACTAATTTGAAAACAAAAATCCAGACTTTAGAACTTTCAAGTACGACAAGTCAACTGGGAGAAGATACCGTGTCCGCTAAACAGACTGTTTCTATAGTGAAAAAAACGTATACCAGTGCAAAGACATCCAAATTTCGTCACATTGAAGGTATTGCTATGCACAAAAACAACAATATAGAGAACATTCGTAATCTGAGCATGTCAACATTTGGGGAGTGTGATGGTCTACTGGTGAATGATATGTTTGTGGCATGGCTATTGTCTGGACCAGGTGGACAAATAGCAGTCCATCCAGTAAGTATGTCTTGTCTATTCAAGTCTTTTGAATTCAAAAATTAAAAATTCTTAAAAGAATCGTGATATATAACGGAATAAACTGCTATGGGTAATTCCTATACTACCAAAGGATTTCTAGGGACAAGTAATATATATCTTGAACTAATACTCTTTTACTGTTTTTATACTAGTAATAATTGTCACTAACTCTGCCCCTGCGCTTGTTGATATCTAGAATAAGAGAACGAGTCATATTTTTAATCTTAAGAAATTCTAAATACTAGAAAAATCTAGTTAGTCTTTGCATACAGTTAGAGGTCCTCTCTATTAACTATGGTCTTGTCATAATCTCATCATAGTTGCTATTACTCAGTCTATTAATATCCTTCTTCGATTAGAATCACATATAATAATGGAATACAGATTCAAAGTGATTTTGCAGGCTTAGCTAAACTTAAAGAAATTCAGAATGAATCAACTTTGATTTGTTTTCACTCTCTGGAGCCTTGTCTGCCGTAGTCTGTCGATCTTGGTCTTTTGTGGGCAGGGATCTTACAAACCAAGATATTTGTCATATAACAAACAAAAATAACGAACCAAATACAGTTTTTTTGTGGCTGCTAAGACTGCTTGCTAGAAACTGAATAAAATTACGCTTTCTTAACTTGAAACTCCAAATCCAACTTCTTTCGGAGCCCAGAAATGCAATGCGATTTTCGATATCCCATGACCACACAGCGCGCCACGTTGATTAAATCGAGAATTTTTCTGGATATCGAAAAGGAATATACGCGGGGGGTCTAATGTACCTTTTCGGTTTTTTGGCCTTTGGGCCTAACCCTGCGTGGCAATCAAAAGAAATGACAAAAGAAAATGGTCTGAATTGCCGAAAGAAAAACAGCTTACTGACAGTCATTCACTGTTATGCGGAAAACAAATTTATATTCATTTTTTTCTAGTTGTCCAAGCCATGTCGTTTACCAGACACAGGGTTACCAATGATTCAGTGTGGAAGTACAGTAATGGACTTTGTTTTTGATCCATTTAATAACCATCGAATAGCTGCAGGTATGGCAATATATTATACCATACCTTCCTTATTATAGCCATGGCTATTTAGAGGGACAATTTTTGAACTACGAAGTAAGGACCAAGAATCTGAAATGATGAGAATGATGACGTTCAAAAACAAAGGGTGTGTGTCATTCCAGTCATTATTCATACTTTGTTTATTTCATGMATTATTAATGTTTTGGTAATTATAATAATCCCTAGCTTGTGAAAGTGGTTCAGTTAGTGTTTGGGACATACCCAAGGGTGGACTTGTAGACATTATTGCAGAACCAAGCATCAAGTTGAAAGGTAAAAGGAAAAAAAAAAACAATCAAAAAACAATGAAAACAAGGAAAATTAGGCATGAAAAACAAAAACAAAATGCGCATTTATAAGGATAATGGTCTCCTTCACGGTTCCCTGCGCCATCTTGAAAGCTAGCCGTGCCTTTACATCCAAGCGAGACGACCGTTGAGCGTGCAATGATGGATATCTGCGAATAATTGTCTGTAGGTGTGAAAGAAGGTTTCCATCATTGCACGCTCAACGATCGTCTCGCTTCRATACAAAGGCACGGCTACCTTTCAAGATGGCGCAGGGAACCGTGAAGAAGACTATTGTTCTCAGAGACATGAACTTCAAACTCGTTCTGCTCGAAAGTATTGCTGTCTCATATCTACAGATTCCCTTAAAAACACCAGGTCAGACTTTGGTTGCCCAAAAATCGTTTTTAAAAGACACCCACTATACCAGAGCCCTAACAAGCCTACAACGATCCACCTAACGATAAACTAAACCTACTATTTGTTCAACCAATTTGATTCAATCAAGGAATCATGCGACAAAAGAAAGTTTCTTTGTATTCTAATCAATTCCTATTTGTAAATGTTATTTATTTTTTCAAAAACAGAACAACAGCCTKCAGTTTTGACAGATACTTTACTGATACGTGTATACCGAAACGTCAAAACTGAAGGCTCTCGTTTTTTTTAAAAAAAGTAATATATCAAATCCTACTACTATACGTCCTTTTATTTTTTCAAAAGTTTATTTTCTATCTTTACATGCTCTGRCAATTAAGTTTCAGCTTACCTTGTACACAAACACATAGGAATTCAACATGAAAATTTCAGAAAAGTTGAAATTCCCTTTGGTTGATAGGTCACCATGACAAGCCAACTATAGTGCGTTATCACCCAACAGCATCTAATGTACTGGCATCAGCTTCTGCTGACTTGACAATCAAGATATGGGATATTTGCACCATGCAATGTGTCATTACGTTACAGGGTCACAATGAGCAGGTTCGTTTAATAAGTTGTCACCTATTATTTGGTTATTTTGTTAAAACTATTCCTTCTCTAAGTGCTTCTCTTCAACACGTCCCCCTCATAGATATTTCTTAGAATTTAACTTAATCTTGTCGGCAGATATTTAGTTTTTGCTGGAGTTTGGATGGAAAGCACATAGTATCAGTAAGCAGGGATAAGAAAATTAGACTSTATGAACCAAGGTCAAGTACAACATGCACACAGGTAATGCTATTGATATACAGTAATTCTGCTGCTTGTTGATTTATACAGTAACGTATTTGTTATAGATGGGTGACGGTCCTGAAGGTAGCAGAGGCGCTCGTGTTTTCTGGGCTGGTCCTAAAAGTGAGCTTCTGGTTCTATCGGGTTTTAGTAGGTGAGTACAACTACCGACAAATGAAATGACGATCTGGCAATTAAATCAACCAGTTTGTTTATCTAGACAAGAGGTAGGTGGAAGCAAGATTGACCGGGTGAAGAGAGCACCGGTCACCCCTGCGGCACCCACTGTGCTACATTCCATAGAGTGGTATTACATGCTTGAGTTTGCTTTTTCTTTTTCTTGCTTCGAGGTTTTTTTTCTCGACAGGGACTCCGTACGTAATGCCCATTTCCATGTTATGCAAAATCGCTCAAGTTAAAAAAGTTTGCAAAAGCACCTATACTTYGGTCATATAGTGACTACCATACAAAACAATACATGAACCGTTTTTGTGCACAGGTCAAGTGAGAGAAAATTAATTGTATATAACTCCAACAATCTTTGTGAACCTCTGCAATCTGTGTCACTTGAAGTAGCACCATCAATATTAATACCTTGGTATGATGATGACACTGGTGTTGTCTTGTTATCAGGAAAGGTGAGATGTTATAGAGTAAGGCCTTTCGAGGATTTGATATTTTTCTTTTGATATCTTTTTCAAATCGCAAATTAGTCAAGCGCATAAGATATTTTCATAAACGTTTACCAAACAGGAAAGCGGCACTTTTCAATATTTATTTGAAGCTAAGTTAAAGAGGCTAATCATC